AAGTTAATAGAAATAGTATGGGAACGTAACAGCGTGTTATATCAGACATCCCGTAGACGTACAGCAGGGAACAGTCAGGCTCTGAGCCAAGCGAACGAAAGAGGTGTGGCGCGATTGGAGCCCCGCCCAGTCTGCCCGTCGATATTACCGCTAGCTGTACTTGGTTGTTGTTATGTTTCATTGTTAAACATTTTCCACTTGAAGGGCTTAAGCTAACTACATATTGAATGCAGATAGATCTGGGAATCTATAGTAGAAGTTGTACGAATTTTGATTTGATGGTTAAGGGTTACAGCCTCTACAGTCCACATGCTAACGTCATCTAACGTGATACGTTTTCTCCTCACAAACAAAATCTCTGGCGAAGTCATTTTGTCGGCATGCGATGAAATGTGTGTTGTCTGGATGCTTTAAGACAGCAGCCTTTTAACCACACTACGCATTGACAAGCTAGTAACTTGTCATAAGAAATTTTCCGTTACTTTAAAGCCTTGATAATGGAATATTAAAGTAAAATACGAAATCAAAATCACAGCCGCTGAAATGAAATGCATAAGACGAAATCAAAATTGCAAACGACGGCAGCTGGAATGTTCTGTTACCTGTTACATATCTCTAAGCTATTACTGACGCACGAACCGTGTTTGTAGATTGTGTGGTAGTCACTGCGCAGTGGTTAGATCTCAAGGCAGATTCCAGGGTGTAATAGGATTTGAGGTTCTCGCGGCAGTGAGTAGTCTGGTAGAAATTTCTACCTGACTACAAGGCATTACAACTCAGAAGATAAGTAAAGTAAAGTAAAGTAAAGTAAGGTTTGTCCCACTATACGCCATGTAGGCGCTTGGGGTGAGTGGAGGTGTAGCTCCTCTCTTCCTTGACCTCGGCACTAGATGGGGGTGAGTGGTCAGCATCACGCCCCGGCCGGCTTTACCCCCGGGAAAGGATCCCGGTACCCATTGTAGAGGAGGTTGGGTGGGCCCCAGAGCCGGTCTGGACGCAGAGGCTAGAGGAAAAATCCTCTGCCCCCGTCGGGGATCGAACCCCGGTCGTCCAGCCCGTAGCTAGTCACTATACTGACTGAGCTATCCCGGCTCATGAAGAGGATGGGGTATGGAGAAAACTGCATAATGATGAGCTTAAAAATCTGTACTCCTCCCCCAGTATTGTCAGGTTGATTAAGTCGAGAAGAATGAGATGGGCTGGGCATGTAGCGCGCATGGATGGGACAAGAGGTGTGCACCGGGTATTGGTTGGGAAGCCTGAGGGGAAGAGCCCACTGGGGAGACCTAGACGTAGATGGGAGCATAATCTCAGGCGGGATCTATGGGAGATAGGAGTTGAAGGAGACTGGATTTTGTTGGCCCAGGACAGGATCCGGTGGAGGGCTTTGGTTAATTCTTTGATGAACCTTCGGGTTCCGTAAGCTATCTAGTTAGTTAGTTAATACACGCAGGTTCGTTATTGGTAGTTTTATCGAACATGTGTTTCGATTTGTTTTCATGCCTGAATTCGTATAGGGCACATAATACATTGTAACTAGTACGGCAACACAATCAAAGTCGAACGAGTTTCTTATGAATCTCTTCCAGATGACTTCCGTATTACTAATAAGCATGATTTTAGCAGGTTTTGTTATAAAATCGGTACTTGGCGTTGCGCATGAACTGCTTCTGATAGATTAACCTGTACAGAAGTTGGTTCTTTAATTCTTATTAACTCAATAAATAAGCTGTGGCATGCCAAACCAGAGAAAGTAACCCAACTGAAAACTGTATGTGGAAGATGACATTGTCTGCACAAGTTTAAAGTTTAATTTGCAACGTAAAACCGTGACTTGTAGTAATAGACGCTTTGCCAGTTTCAGTGACCGCATGGCCTAAGGCACTCATATCTTCTTTTTTTGGTGGGGGGGGAGGGGTTTCTGAAGCATTGCAGAATCAGAAGACTGCAATCTTCAGACTCACCGCTGTGAAAACCTCAAATCCTACATTGCAGAATCTTCTTCAGAACCTTTACGACTCGTTCGGGCGAAAAACGTACAACTTAGAACAGTGGTATTCAACCTGGGGTACGCGAAGACATCTTAGGGGGTACGTGAAATTTTAAAAAAAATATATTATTTTATGATAAACACTGAATAATCAGTAATGTAATTTATTTAATTTATTTTAGATGTAGATTATATACTATGTATAACTTGAATTATACACCAACAACTTTGGGGGTACAAAGTTTAAGAGAAATTATATCTGGGGGTACGCGAACAAAAAAGGTTGAATACCACTGGTGTAGATAACAAAGGATGTGAGCGCTATTGTTCGTGTCTTTTGTTAAACCTCGCACACACGTTCCTTAAATTTAAATTGGGTTTGCAGAATCGTTTAACGTTGTTCACGATCTTCTGATTACAGCAAAATACATATTATCCGACATTTCAGTTTTTTCTGATGTGCCGTGTCGGAACGCTCCATTTTATGAACAATCAACTCAGCATGTAGCGGAATGAATCACACTCGCCCACCACGCACCTTCCACATTTATGTACTGGGTTTCTACAGACGTACTACTTGTTACGGCCCTGGCGTGACCTTGCGTCAAAGAAAAGGAAGGAGGCTCAGAAACAAACGCCCATTACTAATTTCTTAAAGAAAATTAACTTTTTCTTTCACAGATTTACATTATATTTTTCATTTATGCCTTATTGTATGTCATTCATAATTTAATATCGTAAATTGAGTAGATATTTACTGGGATTTGAGGTTTTCAGGGCGGTGTTTACGAAGATGCTGTCTTCTGGGTTGTAGCGCTGTGTAGTGTTGTAGAATTCATTACGATGAGTTGCCCTGATGATGGAGATAACAAGGTTAGTAAACTTCTACCAGATCACGCGGCGCTACAACCTAGAAGACTGCCATCTTCCAGTTGTTCACATTTTTGTCTTCCGTATTATCCGACTGTCCTTCGGTCCCGTTTAGGTCGGATTATTGGGAATCTGCTGTGTTTAGCTTCATCAGTCAAAGACGGGCCATGACTGACTGGCTGGCTGGTTAGTTAGGCTGCTGTAAACTATTTTGTCATTTGCAAGAACCAATTCTTCCTCCATGTCGCTTGGTGTGAATCTTTCACTGACGTATTTCCGTAACCCAGATGTCATAGCGGTTGCAAAATGAAGTCTGTTCATGTTCTGTACTTTTTTTTAGAGTGTCTTTCGCTTTACATAACTGTTCTCGTGATACTCAACATCTGCGCTAACAAATTTAAACTGTCAAGTGCAGAATTTCAAAGCTGGTAGACTACACGTTATGCTATTTATTTCGTTCAGCTTTAGACTCTGTGCTTTGTCTCAAATTGCCGTCCACGCGTGTCTTTTAACAAAACTGGCACGAATATATCAACTGTACAAACATAAACTAATGAACGTGGATATTTATTGCCTCTTGTGGTCTAGCCCTGTTCTGGAGTCGAGTAAATTTCCCTGAATTGTTGCACTCCTTACTGAAATGAAAACCGTCGAAATATGAAAACGCGGATACGGAAAGCGCGTATAACGAGAGTCATCTGTAGTCGAGAATGATATTTTACACATGACAGGGATACGAACCACCCTGTTATGTGCGAATAACCGCCATTTTGTGCTTACTGCTGACGTATTGTGACCTGTGGTTGTTTGTATACAATACGAATCGTGATATACTTATTCCACGGTTTGTTTTATGGTGAACGTTAAATGAATGCTGAGATATTCTAAAGAGACAATATTAACATTTAGTCTTATCATTTGCATCTATTTAAGTAAAGCCTTTTCACACTTCATCTTTTATTGCTTTCAATGTTTCATTAAGACATTTGCGTCTATCCTAGAGGTTATCATTTCGCTGCCCGTCAACATGTTTTATACCGATCCGCGTACATATTTGTAGTACTGTATCATCCTGTATGAACAACAAGTAGTACCAGCCGAAGCTAAATATTTGAGTAAATAGTTTACATAAATAATAAATCATCACAATCGTTAAGGAGAATGGAGTAACATGCCTGTGTGAACTTGTTTGCGATTGTAAGTTGGTAGTGTCTTGAATAAATTACTATGAAGCTGTAATAAACTGTCCTCAATTAGATCCTTACGGCTTGTGTGTGTGGTCCAAGGTCTTAAAACGTTGAGAACTTTGGTATATCCTCTTCTTAATCTAGAAGCAATACGACCACAGCTAATTCTTGATATGGAAATGCTGTCATGTTCTTACCCTGCAAGCACACACCCACGAACAGAAAGTTATTAGTCAACAAAAGTAAGTAAAGGTTTCGACATGACCCTGAAAATTCTAAATCATTTTATCTGGACAGAGCACGGACGGCCCAAATACCCATCTGACACGATTCGAAAATGTACAGAATGCCCATTTTAAAACGCTACCCGAATCCGTAATACGTGACGTGTTCTGTTACGACCGTGTCCTCGGTGACTTCGAGAGGGACTGCAGCGTTTCATCGCCAGGGATCGGAGACCTTAGACTCCATCTTTGGTTCAACACGTTGTTCTAATTGGCACTGTCTCGTTTCGAGAAGCTTCGTGCAGGCTTGCGGGCACAATACAAACGATTTGTTAGCAAAATAATGCTCTTGGACGAAAATTCCTTTGCTCAGACGTAACACCCATTTTGCCTGATCAAAACAGGACACTGAACTGAACGTTAGCCGTTGTCCAGGTCACGGTTACACCAACACTGAAGTCCTTTTTTGTTGGACATACGAAGCACAAAATATCTCTGAGCTTCGTTGCCCTTTACAATACACCTTGCCCTCTTCCTGTGATACCATGGGATCGAAGATATTTTGCGTCCAGTATACCTGTCGGGTGACCAATTCCATGTCGCACACACAGGATACGGGGATTGTGAAGTTTGGGATGCGTGTTAAAATGGACAATCTGTATTAATGAACTTCTGGGCAGCTGTTCTCCCTGTGAAGACCTGCGCATTAACTGGGTGCGGGTGTTGCAGAGCGTGCCGGCCCCGACGCCACTGCAGCGTAAGAAGAGTCTGCCCGACTTTCAGGGACTGCCCAAGGCGACGGACCCCATGTCCCGGGAAGAGGTCTCAGTTCTGAGCTCGGCGCGACGCGAGGAGGTGCGGCGGCAGGCGGAGGAGGCAGAGAGGTTGAGGGCCAACCCACTGCTGTACCTCATCAGTCCTCACGTCAAGGTACGGTACCCAGGTCAGACAGGAGTCGCCTTCAGAAGTTGGTAATGCAACCTGTCACGGAATTTCCTAACACTGGGGACTGAATCTTGGTGTGTTTAGGCCAATAAAAATACACACATAGGCCTCTAAGCTTGTGCAGTCAAGAAATACCCCATTTTTTTTATAGAACCCGAAGGTCCGTTACTGTGTTTACAGGAACCCTACGGTTGTCCTTGTCTAGAGCCAGATAAAATCTATTCCACACTCTACAACCCAATTTCCGTAACATCCATTTTAATATTATTCCCATCTACTCCGGTACCGTGGTGTAGTCTGTCCTCTCAGGCTCAGTGACCTAAAGTTTGTAAAAATTTCTCATTCCCTCATGCTTGCTACATGCCCCATCCATCTTGTCCTCATTGATTTATCCTAATAATATTTAGCGAAGAGTAGAAATTGTGGAGCAATAAATAAAGGTAAAATTAGACGTTTACGAACGTTTTGGGTGTCCTAGTTCAACTAATTATTATTTGGTAATAATTGGATATGTGGATAATAATTACTAGGAATCTTAACAATTTTCGTAAATGTCTTTTTTGATTTTTCTTCGTCGCTATTCAAGTGTTCATTAAAATATGCCAAGTATCCTACAGCAATGGGCTGAAAAATCCTATCTTTGCTTACAAAATCCAGCGAGAACTACTTTTAACTAACAGAGATGTAGTGACATTGGATGTTTCAAGGTTACGACAAAGTCGAGCGGGGTCGCGTCGCGTCGCCAACAGGGGAGTACAGACCGTTTCAGTTCAGTTGAATGTTTCGCGAGACTTCTTTCTCCGTTCAACCTGCTGTAATATTTTGACCACGTTGTTATTCAATTCTTTGTTAATGTAACCCTGTATTTATAATACATCTAGCATGCCACTTTATTATTCTACTGCATTTCTCCGCATTTTTAAAAATTATTTACTGCGTACATAAAAATTTACATCCTAACGCATCTACGTTGCTCGCACTGAACCACCTGCCCAGCGGCTAAGAAATGTAACTGAAGGCCCCGACTTTATTGTTTTGAAAACAGAAAATCTGTAAGTTTTTTAATTCAGAAGAAAAAACAATGTTTGTGTGCTTGTGTGTGTGTGTGTGTGGTGTTCACGCCGATACAGGGATATATTTGTAATATCCAGCGAATCAGTTTGTTAAATTATTCATCTGTGTAGTTCATTTCACGAGTTTATGATCACTAATACCAAATATCAACATTAGCTTATTTTATGGCATGTATATTTGGCTTTGGATGCAATTATAAATTGCTTTCATTTTTAACATGTCCTGTTCTTTCGGAACCAGCATGACACAGGATTGTTCTGCTTCCTTTCCTAACCGGGATTTTTATGCAAGATGGTCCATTGAAGTCCTGAAGCCTAGATTCTGCTTTCCCGACGTTTTGTGCAAGTAGAAAAATGGGTATAATTATGCAATTCAACTTACATCATTTAAAAGCAGATTTACGAAATGCTGACCTGCTTATAAGCAGGCCTCTTACCACTGAAAATATTTTTCGACAAATGTCTTGAAATATTAACACTTTATCTCAGAGCACTGTCTTTCAGTTTTGAAGAATAAGTTAATTGTTCACTTATGCGCGGGGATTTCCGATTAGTTCCCCGCGGTCATTAATTTTTAAATATCCGTGATCGAATTGGGTCCCTGGTTGAATATGCTTGCTTTATTTCCTTGTTCGGATTTGCTCCGTTTGGGGCTTGGCCTTCTGTTACCCCCACAAGTCAGTTAAGTTCATGTTAGGTTAGGATAGGTTAGGTTTAATTATTTGAATAGAGAGGAGGAATAATGCTTGTGAAGCATGCGACTTTATACGTTTAAACTATCTCATAACCTCATTCCTACAATTTCCACGCGGGACGCAGTCGGGCTACAGCCTTGAGATATACGGAGACTATGTTTTGTCTTTTGTTAATTCGCTGAAGAATGATCAGAATTAATCGATCGTAACGGTCGGAATTTAAGGTTTCTTTAAGACACAGGGACTCCTTCCACAGTAGTAGTATTTTTTTATACAAAATTACACGGCGCAACGTCCTAGAAGACAGCCATCTTCGAATCCGTCTTCATAAGATGCCAGCCCACAAGTCACGTTCAGTCTCAGATTCCCGAGTGTCGCGCTGTATGGAGCAGAGACTTGGACACTCAGGAAGAAGGAACAGAAATACCTGGAGAGTTTTGAAATGTGGTGTTGGAGAAGAATAGAGAAGATCAGGTGGACGGATCGAGTGACCAACGAAGAAGTATTGAGGAGAGTCAACTACTAACATAGCCCGCGAAATTATTTCCTAATTTGTGACCAGTTACTGCAAGCTCAAACACTTCCTTTCCTCTATCATTATGAAAAAACCGCGATTCTTATCTCGTCTGCTGCTTTACGTACAGGTACCACTTGCTACTGACTTTAAAACTCTACAGTGTAATGTATTTTTTTCGAAGTAAAAGTGTGTCAGATTCAAGCTGTTGAATGAAAAAAAATTCAAATAATATGTGAGTGTAAGTAATGTGTTCACAATGAATTCAATTTTTTCCAGCATATGCTTTCTCAATTTGTCATTTATGAATAAATATTGTTAAGGATAACCGGTTATTAGTTTTCCAGAGTAATGGCAGGAGGTTCTTCTTGGCCCTTGGGTCTAACGGGAAAACTATTTTTGGCAGAAGAAAACAAAAGACTGCTACCCCATACGTCACGATAATTCACGACAACTTGCCTCACAGTCTGTCCCAAGTCATCATCTATAATGACACTGTCATTCGATGATATAAAAGGCTGTTAAGTAAGACGATGATGGAAGTAGCAAGGGCCTCTGAAACGTTGGTAAACTTTTACCAGACTACACGGCGCTACACCCCAGAAGACATAAGCGCAAATGTGATAATGAAGCAAATAAACATTGTAAGGTCATGACACTAGATGAGAAAATAAAGACTCCAGATTAAGTTGCGCGGTGGTATGAGCGCGGCAACAGTTGGTCTACCTTTCCGCTGATTTTTTACTTTAATGCATAACTCTCCGACGACACTTGATTATATTACGTAGTTTGTTCATAAATAAATATCATTACAGTAAATTTTATATTTTTTGTTTATTTACATGTTGTAATAAGTTCGTCGAACGCGGATTTACAGAACGCGCCGCTTTCGAGGAGCGTATCCACCGCGCTGGACGAGTGTTTTATTTCATATTATTAAATTCAGCTGAAATTTGTGTTATTTCTTATCGAGATATCTCGTTCTAACATGGCGAATGCTGACTCTAGCTGTTTTTCTCGTGTTTGCAGGACTGGTTCTCGAGACAGCAGCTGGTGATGCTTGTACTCTTTATCAACATCTCCCTGGCCATCATGTTCTTCAAGCTTCTCACATAGTAACGGCTGTTATTATTTGCTATGGACTCTGCTGGTTAGGGCTAGTGAAAGTGAGGATCCCTCCCTCCTTTCCCACAACCACTCTACCGAACTAGCAAAATCACCTGATGATTTGGAGACATATTAAAGATAAGTATCACACTGGCGTCGACTGCCGCGCGGCGCATATTTTCACATCAATCGTTTCGTTTTTGTCATTCTTCTTCTTCTTCTTCTTCTCGAAACGAAGCATGAAGCAAATAAACCGAACACAGTCTCGTGATATATTATAGAGTTATGTATAATGTAATTATGTACCAATTTTCTATATAACTCTCAGTGAAAAAGTGTCGCCCCTTATTTGGCGAACTGCCCGCTTGCCAGGGAATGAATCGAAGGGATCAAACGAAATGGCAAATCTCCTGTGAGACGATGTAATATGAGGATCTGTGTTGTCTTAAAGCCTTTTTTACTTGGCATAGATTAAGGAAGATTCAGAACTGATTGGGAAAGTTCATTCTCTCTCGCCCTACATCTTAGGATTGATCACATGTTTTTATTATTTTTTATAAAAACCTGTGGAGTGCGTGGGGTAATTACTATGTAGTTTGTTTAGACTTTTTAAATGATACTACTTGTAAATAATATTGTTCCACTTGGGGTGGCAACTTGTAGGCCTACGTAAGACGTAGGCTAACTTCTTCATGAGTTAGATTTTTGAGATATTGAACTGTATAAAGCATATCAAACGATTCTCTGTTTCAGCGATCGTCTATTGTTATTATTTTGTCTATATTGGAGACAGAAGTATTGCGTGCCTTTTTCTTAAATTGTTTATCAAGTCATTAATAACTGAAAATTTAGACTGTAGATAGGGTGATCCTATTTTCAGAAAAATTATAATGAAAAACTCCATCTTTTTCTACTTGCTAAATCAAAACAAAATGTTTTCTAGACATATAGTCTATTATTTACTCATTGTGTATTGCTTAGTATGTAAATTATTGTTATCAAGTCCTTGTTTTTGAATCAGTTGTTTATTATGCTTGCTTCGTTTTTGTTACCTGCACAGAACAGACGAAATAAATTTGTGTAATTAAATTGTTTCTTATCTTGCCAAATTACTCTTGCAGGATATAATTGTAATATATGAAGTTGCAGGTTTAGGTTAGGTTGGTAGGACTGTTGCTGAATTCCTGACAGGAAACATTTTCATTAGTTTCATCTCTACTATTATCCTGTTTGCAATTGCCATGTTCCTTTCTCATGAAATTTCTGCGATCCCTAGTTTAGTTGATTTTCCTTTTCAGTGGATATAATTTTTGTGTTTCACCCAGTTCAAGGGCTGCTTCCACTTATAATTTCTATTCCCTCTTCAGAGCACGAAAGTATGATTATTACATCTACGCCTTGTGTTTTAGAGTGCAGAGTGCTGTACAATGTCTTCAGTACTGAATAAGATTTGTTGATGTTAATGTTCAATTTTTTTATTTAAGCAAGAACAGACGCTTGAAAGTAAACCTGATCCCACTGAATAAGAGTTGTAGTCACTCCTACATAGGCCCAAGTCGCATTATTTGTCGGACTGTTTTGCTGCCCAAAGTCTTAAGTTAGGCAAAGAGAAAATCGGAGGTTCTGCCTTTTTTCCAGTCCTGTCTGACTGCAAAGTTTTACTAGAGCGTACGTTTGTTCCGAGTGATTGAATCTACAGTGCTCTGTGAACGAGAGATATATATTTGTTCGATTTTTTTTCTTTTTAATGTGAACTTCTGGGACAATAATATTGAACTTGAACTTGTTTATGGGATTTGTTATTTTTCCCTAACTGCCACTATGCGTCTGCATGACATTACTTTTAGTACAATAAGTCCGGCTTTGGTAACATTACCCACATTATCAAGCGGATGTCACTATGATTTACAAGCAGAGATTCAGGGAAATGTTAAATCGATTATTTCTAACACCAGCATTTGATAATTTGACTGCAGAGTCTCTCAATTTTGGTGTCCTGAACTCGGTCATTGTGATTTTGAGAAAGGCCTTATATTTCTGTTCAGCTGTTTCATATGCTGAGATTAAAATTTAAAATCATGCCACTGATGCCAGTATTTGTCAAGCAGAGTATACGGTTGTGGCAAAAGGATTATGTCTGGTAGTTAACTAGATGCCAAACAATTAAAATAATTTGACTCCTAGCCGTGAATCATCAGTTGCGTGTCTGTGTTATTATTACTGTCATTACTTAATTGATACCTCTGCTATTATTATTAATGTAGTAATTATTAGAGTTATTGTAATTGTAAGTACCAACGTTATCCCCATCCCAACGTTAAGAGGATGTGATAATTGACATTATCACACTTCTTTATCGTAAGAATATCTTGTGGTTGGGGCTGATTTCATCTGTAAGTTTCCAGGGTGATCATGGGCTGTGAATGAATCCTTTTGAAGGAATTGATGCTGTTAAGACTTACAGACATCATAATTGGGGGATATTTCACATATGCCCAAGACTTATTTTCAATCTCTTTACACATATTTAAATAAGGTATAAAATGTTAACTTTTGATATATAATTCAGTAAGACTTGTGGATGTCTGATTGATAGAATGTTATAATAATTCTTTAGCGTTGTCCGTGAATTATACCGAGACAAACAGTTAAATATGATCTGTAATGCAATTTATTATTTTGACATATTTGGTTATACCGAGGATAAATTACATATTCAAACGTGTTAGAGGCTTCAGGAGAAACATAAGCTCTGTTTTGTTGCATTACTCAAGTCGTTGAGCGCTGTTTTCATGAAAAACATTTTAGTGCGTGTTATGAATACAGATTAGGAAATCAGAAAGTTGCAAATCTTCATTTTTCAATAATAATTTAAGTACACTCTTTGTTATATTTTATTCCCCGTGAGTGACGACTGTAATATGTTTCAGTTACATTTGAAAGAAAGGTTAATTATGATGTTATTCAAACATTTTATTTACTCCCCAGCAAAATTCCACAGCCATAATATATAAATTTGTTTAAAAGAATATTTTGTTCATTCTGCTGATGCAGTTTGATCAGTCACAATAAAACCAAAAGACATTTCAATAGTGGTATCAGTATGTTAAGTGAGATTCCGGTACTTTATCATTTGTCTGCGCCAGAAGTGTTCTTTCAATAAACTGATAGATCACAATTATGGTAATTAAGTTGGTTTTTGTCAATGAAAATTTTCATATTTTTAAGAAACATTCAGAAGTTCTGAAGCTTGAAGTATAGTACTTGTAAGAATTTCAGGACTGGGATTACAATGATGTAATTCTAGAACTTTGCTGTTCAGCGAAATGTCTTTCAGTAGCGTTTAGAATACAGTACCTTCTCTAAAAATAAATCATTTTGAACTGAAAATGGGATGTTAACATACAGAAGTCTGATAAACACATGAGATGTTAATTTTGTACCCACAATAAAGTGTGTATAAGACCTTTGTTCCTGAAACCGTGGGAATGAACATATGAGGCCTTATGACAGAGATTTGTGTCCTTGTCGCAACTTTTTTGAGTCAAATAAGTAGATTTAACCTCAGAAATACTCGATGGTTCGTCCTAATTGTATTGCAAATTTTTAGGCTCAGATGTTAGGTTCCATTCGAAATCTAACGTTGGTAGGTTAATTGAATTGGAATGTAAAAATAGTATTTCTTAAAATTTTCACTCAAATGTTGAGACATTTCATATTATAAAGTAAGCACAATATCACTTTTTTCTTTTATTTTCTCAATACTGCCCACATATTACAATTATTAAAAATATGTAATTCCTTCAGCGCCTCTAGTATATAAGAACAAATCTACTCTACCACGTAGCATCTGTGTATTTGCGAAATTAAATTGTTTAGGATAAATAGCTTTTGAAGTAACCAAGGACTTTACGTCACTATGTCCTGTAACTGGAGATTTGTCTGGAATAACATTGCAGCCGACGTATTTTATTTGATACCATAATGATATGTACACATTGCATTGGAAATGTCAATTGAACTTTATGCCACTAATGTTCCGTCAATAAAGGGGTTTCTCGAAAAAGGTATAAGCCTAATTATATCACACGTTAAAACAGAAACAGGATAACATTTCATGCCTGTTTCAGAACTTGCAACAACTAGGTGTTCTTATTGCTAACAGGCCCATGTGATAAATTTAAGGAAATTGAATGTGTTTGGATAGAAAGATATTACTATAAAATTGTTTAATTATCTGTGGAAAACTTGGGAGACTGTGGGTAAAATATTTACGGTAAGTTCAAAAACAATGCAGGTACAATAGCTTCACAGCATCGTCATAATTTTTTAAAAAATAAAAGAGTGAGGTTATTGTATCTAAAAACGGCATCTTACGAAAAACTCGTCGATGTGAGAAATTTATTTCATTCAATGTAGTGAGTATCGATTGAAACACGTTAAAAAGGTATTTTGGCCGTCACGTAAACCCTTGGTACAATGAATCAAAATTACATTCGGGTTATTAGCCCTTTCCTTGATATGTCCGAGATACCTGGTTTAAAATCACTACTATTCATATATTTGATGCTTGACGAGATATGAGAAAAACGGTAATATTTTTGCAGTTGAAGATGTCCGTGGTAATTAGAACTTTGCGTTGTTATCTGAAATATTTTTATACTAAGAACGCAGCGGGGGTAGGGTTATGTAGTCGAACATCACATGAAGACGAAAGTATAATTAGAGTCCGAAATGTTGTGTAGGACCACACAGTCTGTCC